AAACAAACAAACAAACAAACAAACAAACAAACAAACAAACAAACAAACAAACAAAAATCCAATTAAAAAAAACAAGCCCGTACCGTCGTACCATTTCCACCAGACCAAGAAGTATTACATGGATACCTTAATGACATTGGCGGGATGACTGGGCGTTACCCTCGGCTGGTAGTCTGACACCTGACCTTTGGCGTGGTTGTAGTGGACAGCTGCTGGACTGTCCCGTCTGGGAGCCCCGGGGCGGCCGGTGGGTGTCCCAGCAGGAGGTGGGAATGTTCCTGTGGCCCGCCGGAAGCACTTGCCGACTCCTTTCAACAGCGGTTTTTCCAGACCAAGGAAGGGCGACTCGTAGGCCATGGAGGCTACATAGGCGACCATGTACGACATAGCCAGAGTGCCCAGGAAGGCGAAGATCTGGGAAAACAGGGGGGGGTGGTGGTTGGAAAGGGGGAGGATGGGGGTGGGTTGGTGAGGGGTGGTTATAAAGTAAAAAAAGAGCAAAGGAAAAACTGAAAACCGTGCAACACTAAGACTAATACGCACCTTATATCCAACATTAGAGGATCATCATCATCACCACAAATCATCATCATCATCATCATCATCATCATCATCATCATCATCATCATCATCATCATCATCATCATCATCATCATCATCACCGAATAAACAATTCCCCTTTTTTTCTATTTCGTTTTGTTTTTCTCTCGAGAAAACGTAACAATTTGCACCATGCCAATACATTTTACTTAACCTACAAATATCGGCACCAAAATCAGGACACAGGACAATCCATTCTCCTCTGGGGTCCAAACTGGGGCTGATCTCAGACTTAAGACTGCTGTAAGGCGAATTCAAAAGAGCTTTAATTGTTTTCTTTGAAAAATGGGGGTGGGTGGTGTAAGAAGTTTTTGTTGTTGTTGTTGTTGTTGTTGCTGTTGGTTTGTTTATTTTGTTAGCTTTCTTTTTGTTGCTGATTTTGTGCAAGGGTAAACTAAACGAAATATTCTGTAAGTAAGACGACGAAGACCGAGTGCCATGGTAAAACAAACACACGGGTCGCCACCACTCGGAGAACGAGCGACTCTTCTG